AGGCAGGTAGGGAGGGAGGGAGGGAGGTAGGCAGGTAGGTAGGTAGGTAGGTAGGTAGGTAGGTATGTAGGTATGTCTGTGTGTATATATGTATGTATGTATATAATTATGTATGTATGTATGTATGTATGTATGTATGTATGTATGTATGTACGTATGTATGTATGTATGTATGTATGTATGTATGTATGTATGTATGTATGTGTGTGTGTATGTCTATGTCTATGTCTATGTCTATGTCTATGTCTATGTCTATGTCTATGTCTATGTCTATGTCCATGTCTATGTCTTTGTCTATGTATATGTCTATGTCTGTGTATATGTATGTGTATATGTCTATGTACAGGTACACGTATAAGCTTATGCATATTCATATTTATGAATGTCTATCTATCGACATATATATATATATATGAATATATGTGCAAGCATATGAATATGTAAATGTAAACGTATATGTATATGTATGCACATGTACATGTGCAAGTGTATGTGTATGTATATGTATATAGTTATCGTGATATTAACAAAGCTATGACTTAAGACGGACTTTGAGGGGATACGGTTGATGGACAAAATCCTGCATGACCTTATGTACCTAAACTATGGGATTTATGGTACTATACTATGTTTGGGTCATGCAGGATTTTGTCCATCAACCGTATTGCTGCTCACTATTCCTGCCCCCATGGTCTCAAGCCATAGACCCTAAACTCTCCACTTTCTACTGCTTCTAGACCCTAAATCCTACGCACTAAATCCCAAATCGGAAACCCCAAACCCTAATCCTGAATCCTAAACCCTAAACCCCAAACCCTGAATCCAAAACTCTTGAACCCTACTACGAGATACGGCCTGCTCGCGTAGATCTTTCAAAGACCAGGACTGGAAGTCTTCCTGCAGCTGGGGCTGAGAGTTTAGTGGTTCAGGGTTTGGGTTTAGGGTTTAGGGTTTAGGGTTTAGGGTTTAGGGTTTAGGGTTTAGGGTTTAGGGTTTAGGGGTTGAGGATTTAGAGGTTAGCAGTTTAGGGCCTAGGGCTCGGATTTAAAGCTAAGTTAGGATTTACTGGATTCTGGTTCAAAGGATCAGAATATGGAACCAGGCCTCGTGGAATGTACAAAGTATTTCAAAGCTACCCTGCCTGCACCAAAGTTCAGGATATTCGGCGATAATAGGAAGCATAACGAGTAAGAGCTAAGGAACATTTGTTCAGTAGGCTTTCTTGGTAGGGCTTGGAGTACTTCGAGAGCTCACGGTACTTGGGGTCTACCCATGCTTTCAGGGTTGAGGTGTAGGGGTTTAGGGGTCTAACGTAGGGGCCTTAATCATTAGAATTTTGGAGTATATTATCTACATCTATTCAGGCCCCTTTTTAGGGGTCCAGGGGTTTACGGGTTCAGGGCTGTAGGGCTTAGGGTTGTAACGTCCGAGTTCGGACTGTGAAGCAGATCTTCGAGTGCAGGCTTCCCTTATGCCTGCACTCGAAGATCTAAACTGTGTAGCTGCGCTTCAGTCGCAGGCTCCGGCTTCAGCATTTAGTTTAGAGTTCAAATCATGGGTTTTGAGCTTAGGGTTTAGGGCACGTGGTTTTGAGGTTGGGGTTTGGGGCTTTCAGGGAGCCTACCATGAGAAATACCTCCCACGGAACAGACCTAGTTGATTGAATAGGGCATGTGAGGGCCTCGCAAACGGGGCCTTCAGTATACCCGAGATCACGAAGATCTGTCTTTCAAGTTGTTGAGGGCTGTCCTGAATTCAAAAAAATCATCCTAAATCGTAGACAGTAGACCTGAACCTCCCAAGCCCTGTTGATTTAGGGTTTCCAGTGGAGAGCTTCGAGCCGAGGGGCTGGTAGGGTTTAGATACGGACGAGGCCCACAGTAGATTCAAGGTCATGGAGTTGCAAGGTCAACCCTGAACCCCTAAAGCCTAAACCACCGACTCATGTGGCCTGTCGCACACACGACTCCTCTTCCACTGGGTTCTCCTGGAGAGGCGTGTTCGTCTTGAGAGGGCTTCCATATGGCTTCGGGGCGCCCCTAAACCCTGAACCATAGGCCTTAAGCCCTCGGCCTACCTTTGTAGTAGAGGGGCACACGGACAAGAAGGACCCTTGGATCCTAATTAGGGGTAACGCTTCGTCGGTGAAGGCGAAGTCATTACGACGGGATTGCCCTTCTGGGTAACGGTTTCGGCGTAAGGAAACAGCATTACGTCAGTTGCTCAGGTTCAGGTAATTTACCCGTAGACGCTTCTCGAGCCTTAAACCTAAAGCCTTATAGATCCCGAAGCACTAATTTCAGAAGCGTCCGGCAAAGCAATTGGAAGAGGACCGCCAGGTCCGGGTTTAGGGTTTAGGGGTTGAGGGTTATGACACCCGGGAGCGGGATAGGGGACACTCGACCCGAAACCCTAAAACCTAAAACCCCGGTAAAGAGGCCCTTTCGGAACAAGTTGGAACGCCTGAAACCTCCCCAACTCAGATGAAATCTGTATCGGGCCCGTAAATCGCTCTGAAGAGAAACTCAAACGGCCACCCCGGGACCCCTCAACTCTTGAAGCCGAAACCCCACACCCCTTGTAGATTGTAGATTAGTTTGGAACTCTTAGTTTTGGAAAACAAAATCCTTACTTATAGAGACCGCATACAGGCCCCCCACACCCTTCTAGAACATAGAACCCTTACGTCGAGCCCCGTATAAAACCAATACAAACCACCGTTTCTAAGGGCCCGGCCGAGAGGTATCTCTCGGCATCCAGCGCTGCCATGGCGCCTGAGCCGGCAGACGTGATCGCCTGGACGTTGACAGGCGCCGGCGGTATTTTAGGTGGACTTTCTTGTATTTGTTCTTAACAGTGGCTTTGTGTGTTGAGGTGTCTTGTAAAGCCTTTATTACAGATCTAAGTTCTTGTAGAGTTTTATAGGGTTCTACAAGGGGTTCAAGGTAAGGGTTTGGGAATTCGGGTTACCGGCTTTGCCGTTCAGGGCTTAGGGTTTAGAGTTCTTTTGTGGTTCTTCTAAGATTCTGGAAAGGTCTTGCAGGTTGTAAAAGAGCTCCCGTAGGAAGGCTCGAATTCTATGAAACATGTACGAGTTTCGGCTAGGAGCTTGGAGAGCTTCATGGTTTAGGGTTTAAGGTTTACAGCTTATAAATATGTCTTAGCCCAGCATCTAGGAGTGTAGGCCGGGGGGGCATCGGGGTCAGGATCAGTTAGGGTTTCGCGCACTGTGGTTTAGGGCGCCGTCTTGGGATACGTGGATTTGGGACCTACAGCTGACGGTTCAGGCTGCAAGGGTTCATGACTTAACGTTTCCTATATGTGTTAAGACCACACCTTTAACCCGAAAGCCCTGATAGGCTCCCAACAGCGTCCTTGCAGAATGCGCGCAATCCCCGACAGAACTCGTACAGAACCCTTAAGCCAACCCTTCAACGAAAGAACCGTTTGAAGATCCAATGCTCAGGACTTGAAGAGTTGCTCATTCGGAACATGCGCTGTGCTATCTTCCCGGGGTAAAGGTTTAGGGTTTACGGTCAAGAGTTTAGGATTACGGATGTGGGGTTTAGGATTAAGGACTGCAGTTAAGTAGGGCTTAGGGTTTAGAGTTGTACACGTCGGGTTGAAGGTGTCATCGTGTGTCAGGCTTGCCGTTGAACTCTCTGTCAGCCCATGATGGTGCTTTCCACGACTTCCATGACCGACAGCATGTCGGTCCTGGGCTTAGCACCATGGGTGGCTTCGGTTGCTCAGCGCACGAGCCCGCGCGGGCTGAGTCCCGAAAACCAGTTGCGGACCTCCTTCTGACGGCCGTGGTCCTGGTCGCCGCCGAGGTGCCAGGCGGCTTGCGCGGAAGAACCAGGAGGTGCACAGGCCATATAACCAAGCTCTCCATGTGGCAGCCCCGAACCTGTCGCATCCGGATCGGCAGGCCGACCCACCTGCCAAGCAGAACAAGCCGTGACCCGTGCTCGACTTGTTCCAGAGAGGCCACTGGCCTCCGCCACGATGAGCCATTCGGACAGCGGCATAAAGCCCGCCATGGCGAAGTGGATGGGAGCTCGGGAGGGCGGGGGGAAGACATGCAGGAGGAAACTGTGTAGATCGATGAACATAGCCTTGCACTAAATCGGTACCTTACCTCAGAAGTCCGCGTAGTGAACCACGTGTTTGACAAGCCATGTCGACGCCGCAGACTTCGTGACACCAACCCCTTAATAGGAGACTGCCATACCCGAAACGTTAGATCCCTGCACCCTAAACTCAGAGCCCTGCCGCGCACCGAACCCCAGCACCCGAAGCATAAACAACACATGCAAGCTTGAATGAGGCTGCAACAAGCTCTTGCATGTACCACAAACACTGTGTCATACGGTGTTCATGGGCAATCCATCCGCTATAGAGGGCCGTACTGTAGTTTCGGATCGCATCACAGACGTGTCTTTGCATTTATGGCCGTGGAGCTGTCACGGGTTTGAGAGCTTTGAGCTGGGTCCATCACTGTCGCCGTCCGGTCCGCGTACTACGCCATGATATGGCAGTCGTGAACCCCTGACTGGCAAATGCCAGTCCGCGGGGTATGCGGACCAGCGATTTCTTGTCTTCTTCTTCTCTTCAGCAGCCAGCAATGCCAAATGCCGTTTGTCTGCACGACTGCCGCAAAGTCTCGTTTTCGGGCTCAAGTCTCTTCAGCCGCATTCGTTGCAACTCCGGACTCAGGCGGAGGGCTTTTTTTTGTCTCGGAGACCACTGGGAAGTTGAGGCTGGGGTGGGGTTCCAGCACTTAGAGTAGGTTCTCATCCTAAACCCTAGACACCAAGAACAGAAAATGGGAAGCCAGGGCTTTTGGGCGCTTTGCCACTTGGGGTCTGGGAAAAGCAGCTGATATAGGGACCTTATGTGAGCTTAAGGGCTCCCTTAAGGGCTTACTATCAAAGTTTAAGGGTTAGGTTAAAGTGCCTTAGGGTCCTATGCAGAATAGGGTTTTGGTGTACCTTCTGTAAGGAACAGTATTGCTACTTATGCAAGTTTCCATGTTAAGCCAAAGCGATTAGGGCTTACTTAGGGTTTAGGGCTTACAGGTTCAGGGTTCACAACAGAACCCAGGGATGGATGACCTGCCGGTAGACGTTGTCTGCGACGTCCCCTGCGGCAAAAAAGCCGGGAACCTCAGGCATCTACGGTCGCTTAGGTAGATACCTTCCGTTCATGGCGGTTCAGAGCTGGGGGTGCGTAGGGTTAGGGTTTAGGGTTTAGGGTTTAGGGTTTAGGGGTTTAGGGGTTTAGGGTTTAGGCGCATTTGCTGTCCAGAAGCTGACGTCTTTGTCGGGCCATTCACGTGGATGTAGCCGGTCCTGGGTGTGGGGGGGGGGGGAGGGGGCGGGTATAGTTCGAACGCCTTAACAAGTAGTGCCGAATTTGAGAGCATTCTAGCAGAACGATGTAGGGGCCGTAAAGGAAGTCTACTGCTCGTTTCCGGGATCCCCCAGGTAAGGGCATGTAGTTTCCGGATTGCGACGGCTTTGGTGGCTGAGTTCTGGGGCTTGAGCTTTGCTGCCTAGGCTTAGGATTAAGCCTTGATCGGGCTCGGGGCTTCGGGTCCAGGTCTTGAGGCCCAATAACGGTGCTCAACAGCTGAATCTCGGAGGACTAACATACTCTGAGGGGCTGAGTACCCTAGCCCAAAAAAGGTTAACCTCTTGAATTATAGTAGGATTATATAAGCCCCAAAAGGTTAAAGGTTACCTACTCAGCCCCTGAATTACTAGGATGGTAGACTTGTTCAGCTTGCACAAAGGAACCCTATGGCGGTGTCTTGGTGCTCCCGTCTTAACCACAAACCCTGTCTCGCATTCACACTACGGAAACGGCTGGAGCTCAAGACAACAAGCAGGTGAAAGCGAAAGCCCATGCGCTGGGAGCTCTGAACTACCAAAGGCAAGGCATGCACTGTTTTGCGCTCGTGCACCAAGACCGAAAACCATGCAACCCAAAACGGATGCAAACAACAGGATCAAATCATAAACTGATCTAACTATGTCGATTGCTCTCCTAGGGCTTTTATGTCTGCTCGCTTTGTTTATCTACATTAAATATGCTAGTGTGCAAAAGCATTGTACTCCGAAGCCCTTTCTCTAAAGGCTCGAGCCCCCAGCCCACGTAGCGGGGCTAAGAGTTCAGGGTTCGCTGTTATGGTTGGTCCAACGGTGATTCAAGCTTTCTGGAACAAAAGGATTCAGCCTTCTGTAAAATTTGGGGCTCGCGGATCTACTAGGGCTTGGGACCAGGTTTAATGGCTTGGGGCGCTGAGGGCGTGCTGTGCGCATCCGGTTTGCCCAGCCTTGACCAGTCCCGACGAACCTCGAGATGCTGCAGACGCTAACCTAAACCCTCAACCCTCAAAACTACTGGCCTGTTCCCACTATCGGCCAGAACAAGGCCTATCGCCAAGGCTCTCGTCCATGTCCACCTGCACATGCACTGGGTTTTTGGCAAGCCCATTCCGATCGATTCGAGCAGTGTGAACAGAAAGATGAGGGTTTCTACTCCTGAGGTTCTTCCTGCAGATAAATTCGAGTAGTAGTTCTAGCTCGTCCTGTAGGCGAGCAGTCAGAGGCAGGTGAGCAGTTCGAGAGTAAGTACACAAAACGCATCCCTCTCGCTCTCGCTGCATATGAGGGGCATCCTGTTGCTGAGGTTTCTCGTGACAGATGGACGCGAGCAGCTTAGCACGTTCCTCCCTACTGCTCAGGCTCTCTTTCTTCAAGTAACATCAGCCAAAGGCACATAAATGCAGGGGCCAAAATAATTACCAATACTATTTTGCGGGCCCCTTAATATAATTATAGTATATGTAATGGGCCCCAACACCCTATTCCAATTATTGAGGCCCCTATATTAGGTGCTTGCCCTCGACGCATATGGGCTACTCCGGCAAGTAGAAGGGTGCTCTGCCGCCCGCGTGGAGCTGCGGCCATCTTGAGAACCGCCGCCATAACTTTGCCGGGCTGAGGGTTTAGGGTTTAGGGTTTACAGGGTTTATAGGGTTTAGGGTTTAGGGTTTAGGGTTTAGGGTTTCGGGTTTAGGATTTAGGGTTTATAGGGTTTAGGGTTTAGGGTTTAGGGTTTCGGGTTTAGGGTTTAGGGTTTATAGGGTTTAGGGTTTAGGGTTTAGGGTCTATCTTGCAGAGCTCGGCCTCGCAGTGCGAAGACTCCGTCGAAATTGGTGCGATCCACACCCAAATCATGCTGAATAGATCCTAACGCCTAAGCACGACCCCCACATCTACCTGCGAACCCTCAAGCAAAACACTGAACCCCACCCCTAAACTCTTTTTAAGAGGAAGTAGAATGCTTCTATGAGGGCTTTTTTAACGCCTCGAAAAGTTTAGAGCACTTCTTCTGGGAATTGCAGAGCAAACATCTCTGCTGGACCCCGGAGTCCCGGAGCCCCTGTCAAAATGCAGTTTGAGGTTTAGGGTTGTTTGGGTCTGTAGCTTAGCTTTTGGGATGCTCTACGTTAAAGTCCCTTTCCGGGTTCCTGATCTGGGGGCTGTGAAAGAAGTGGTTTGGTGTATTGAGGACTAGGGCTTTGGGTTAGTTTGGGAATCGGCTTACGACTACAGGAAAAAACCCAAACCCTGAACCACGAACCCCAAACCCCAAACCCTAGACCCCAGCCCAAACCCGACTTTGTTTTTCGACGGCTTATGATGACATCCTGAAAGGGTTTAGGGTTTGGTTTGGGGCTGCCTATAGTCTATATTGTAGTTCTTTTTCGCTTCTTGTACGGATCCCGAAATAAAATGGCTTAAACGAGAAGAAGGAACTACATGGGAGACTACAGGAAGGGCTGAACCCCGAAATCCTAAACCCTGCAAACCCCGCCCTAAACCCTAAACCCAAAACCCTAAACCCTGCAAACCTCATGTCCTCGGTCTATGGGTATGTATATGTATAATTTATATATATATATATATATAGAACACACAATTTTTCTTATCGATGCTAGCTAACAGTGTAAACACCACTATTATCTCCAAACTGCAACTTCACTCCTTACATGCTTCCGGTAGCAGTTTTAGCTCTTTACGGTTTAAGACTTTGAGTTCTGTATACGCTATTGAAATGCTTTTTGGATTTAAGGTTTAGGGATTTTTTGGGTGTAGGGTTTTGGGTTCTTAACCCTAAGCCTGGACCCCAGAACGCCAAAACCCTAAACCCCTACACCCTAAAATCTGAACCCTAAACCCTGAACCCTAAACCCCCTAAACCCCACAACCCCAAACCCCTAAAACCCTAA